GGAGAAAAGGAAGGTGGGGAGGAAGGGGAGGGGAAGGGGAGGGAAGAAGGTGGGGAGGAAGTGAGTGGAAGGGAGGAAGGAAGGTGGGGGAGGAAGGGGGGAGGAAAGGAAGGTGGGGAGGAAGGGTGGGGAGGAAGGGGAGGGGAAGGAGGGAAGGGAAGGTGGGGAGGAAGGGGAGTGAGAAGGAGGGGATGGAAGGTGGGGGAGGGAGGGGAGGAGAAGGTGATGGAAAGGAAGGGATGAAGGGAGGAGTAATGATGGCGGAATGAGGAGAATGAGAGTGAAGGAGGGGAATAATATGATGAATGAGAGTGAATGATGATGAGGGTCAGATAGGGTGATGAGAAGATATGAATAAGATGAATGATGAATGATGTACGAAGATGAAGATGAATGATAATGATGGAATGAATAGATGAATGATGTGATGAATGTGAGTGAATGAATGATGTAGGGATGATGTAATGAGGAATGGTGAGATGAAGGAGTGGAAGGATAATGAATGTGATGAAGGGTGGAAAGTGAATAAGGGGAGGGAAGATGAGAATGGAGTGAAGGAGGAAGGAAGAGGGGATGAAGGGGAGTGAAGGAGGCAGAAGGGGAGGAAGGGGAGGGAGATGATGAGGAATGGGGATGAAGGAGGAGAAGGATGAGGAATGGGGATGAAGGATGGGAAGGAGGATGAATATGATGAATGGTAGGTAATGAGGAATGAATAGTGGGGATGAATGATGTAATGATAAATGAATGTGATGGTGATGTAGATAGACAATGGGTGAATGTGATGATGATGGAAATAGTGAATGATGATGATGGGGATGGCGATGATGATGGAGAATGTGATGAATGATGATGAAAATGTGGTAAGATGAATGATGTAATGATGGAATGAATGTGATGGTAATGATGAATGATAATGGTGATGTAATGATGTTGATAATGTATGTAGTAATGCAGATGAATGATGTAGATGGGAAGATGGTACGTAGATGAATGATGAGAATGGTGGATGAAGGCGTAAAGATGAGGGGATGATAATGATGGTTTGGGTGATGGACGATGATAATGATGGCGCAATGATGATGGTGTGATGGGAATGATGGAACGAAACTGCAGATGACGAGGGGGAAGATGGATGAAGGTGATGAATGTAGATGACAATGAAGGCGTGGAAGATGATGAATGTGAGATATGATAAATGAAATGCAGATGAAATGATGTAATGATGGAATGAACAAGATGAATGTGATGGAAAACATAAGTGATGGAATGAATAAGTGATGAATGATGTAATGATGGGCGAATATGATGAATGTGATGAATGATAAATGAAATGAGATGAATGTGATGGAGCGAATGTGATGAAATAATGGATGAATAAGGAGCGAATGATGTAATGAATGAGATGAATGATGAATGATGAAATGGTAATGCGGATGAAGGATGATAATGATGGGGAAAGAGATGAATGAATGATGGAATGAATGCGTGGATGGTTGATGAATGATGGTGTGAATGCGATGAATGATGAATGATAAATGGTATGCAGATGAAATGATGGTAATGATGGTGAACAAGTGATGAATGATGGAAATGATGAATGTACATGATGAAATGATGTAATGATGGGTTGGTATCGTAAGATGAATGATGTGATGATAAATGAATGTAATGATAATGATGTAATGATGGTACTGAATGCGGGGATGTAATGTGATGTAATGATGTGGGATGAATGCGGATGAATGATGAATGATGTAATGAATATGATGAATGTGATGATGAAATGAACAGATGGAGATGAGTGATGGATGGGCCGAGTGCGATGGTCAGATGGAATGAGGAATGAATGCGTGAATGATGAGATGTGGATGGTTTGTAGGTAATGATAATGAATGGATGATTGATGGGAATGATGGAGGTGATGAATGATGTAATGATGGTTTGAACGATGGGATAATGATGTGAATGATGAAGTGCAGATGGTGATGGAGGGAATGATGGTTTATGATGAATGTATGTAATGATGGAATGGAGTGCGGGATGAATGATGTAATGATGGTTTAATGTGATGAATGATGTGTAATGATGGGGAAATGGTGGTATGGCAGATGAATAAGATATAATGAATATGCGGATGAATGATGGTGATATAAGATGGTAATGAGGGTGATATGAATGTGATGGATGATGGGAATGATGGAATTAATGTGATGAATGTGATGAAATGAATGCGATAATGAATGCGTAGATAATGTGATTGTAATGATTGTGTTGTAATGTGGGAAATGAATGTGATGAATGATGGGAAATGATGTGTGGAAATGAATAGTGATGTGTATGGATAATGATGAGCTGTGATGAAGGTGAGTAATGTGATGGCGTGATGTGAATGATGAGCAATGATGCAATGTGATGAATGACATGTTATGTGGTGAATGTGTGGATGAATGATGAGAATGTATATGAACAAGTGTAAAGATGGAATGATGAATGATGGAATGTCATGATGAATGATTTTATGATGGAAGAATGCAAGATGTAATGATGAGCACGAATAAGATGATGTGATGAATGCGTGATGAATGTGATGGAATGATGGAATGGACGAGATGAATGATGAATGATGGAAGTGAATTGTAGATGAATGATGGTGGGATGGAATGAATAAGATGAATGATGTAATGATGTGAATGGTTGATGAATATGATGATGATGAAAATGAATAAGATGATGTGATGAGTGATGATGAATGCAGATGAATGTGATGGAATGATAAATGAATGAGATGAATGTGATGGAATGATGGAGCGGTATAATGATGGATGTTGAATGATGAAATGAAATGCGTAGATGAATGTGAGGTGGTGTGGTGTGAATGATGGAAAGGATGGAATGTCATAGATGAATGATGTAATGATGAAAGGTAGATGAACAGATGTAATGATGAATGAATAGATGGTAGGATGTAATGATGAGTAATGTGGATTAATGAGTGTAATGATGGGCAATGTGATGAATGATATGGAAGGAGGGAATGAAGGTGATGAAGGAGTGAAGGATAAAGGAAGGTGGGGAGGAAGAGGGGGGGAAGGAGGGAATGAAGGGATGAAGGAGGGAAGGAGGAAGGAAGGTGGGGAGAAGAGGAGAAGGAGGAAAGGAAGGGGAGGAAGGAGGGAATGAGGAAGGAAGGTGGAGGAAGGAGGAAGGAGGAATGAAGGGATGAAGGGGGTGGAAGGGAGGGAATGAAGGTGATGGGTGTAGTGGGAGTGAAAAGGTGGTGGAGAAGAGGAGTGTAATGAGGAATGAAATATGAAGGGTGTGAGTGTAATGATGGGAATGAAGGTGGAGATGAATGTGATGAGAATGATGAAAGGGTGGCGATGAATGAGTGAAGATGAAAATGAAGGTGATGAATGATGGGGGGGAGTGTGAGGGAGATGAAGAGAATGAAATGCGATGATGGAGGAAGTGATGAGGGAAGGTGATGAAGCGATGAAGGAGGAATGAATGCGGGATAGGGAGTGAAGGAGGAAGGGGAGGAAGGATGAATGATGAGCGAAGGTGGGGATGGAAGAGGAGGGGATAATGAAGGTGATGAAGGGGAGGAAGGATGAGGAATGGGTGGGGAGGAAGAGGAGTGAAGGAGGGGAAGGTGGGGAGGAAGGGGAGTGAAGGAGGAAGGAAGGTGGATGATGAAGGAGGAGAAGGATATATGAATATGATGAATGAGTGGGAATGATGAAAGTGAATGTGATGAAGGAGTAATGATGATGATAGGAGAGAAGGAAGGTGGGGGAGGAAGGGGAGGGGAAGGAGAAAGGGGAGGAAGGGGAGGGAAGGGGGGGGAGGAGAAGGAGAGAAGGAGGAGGAGGAAGGGGAGGGAAGGGGAGGAAAGGAAGGTGGGGAGGAAGGGGGAGGGGAAGGGAAGCAGGTGGAGAAAATGAAGAGGAAGAGGAAGAGGAAGAGAAGAGAAGAAGAAGAAGAAGAAGAAGAAGAAGAAGAAGAAGAAGAAGAAGAAGAAGAAGAAGAAGAAGAAGAAGAAGAAGAAGAAGAAGAAGAAGAAGAAGAAGAAGAAGAAGAAGAAGAAGAAGAAGAAGAAGAAGAAGAAGAAGAAGAAGAAGAAGAAGAAGAAGAAGAAGAAGAAGAAGAAGAAGAAGAAGAAGAAGAAGAAGAAGAAGAAGAAGAAGAAGAAGAAGAAGAAGAAGAAGAAGAAGAAGAAGAAGAAGAAGAAGAAGAAGAAGAAGAAGAAGAAGAAGAAGAAGAAGAAGAAGAAGAAGAAGAAGAAGAAGAATAAGAAGAAGAAGAAGAAGAAGAAGAAGAAGAAGAAGAAATATTGAAGAAGAAGAAGGAAGGAAGAAGAAGAAGAAGAAGAAGAAGAAGAAGAAGAAGAAGAAGAAGAAGAAGAAGAAGAAGAAGAAGAAGAAGAAATAAGAAGAATAAGAAGAAGAAAGAAGAAGAAGAATAAGAAGAAGAAGAAGAAGAAGAAGAAGAAGAAGAAGAAGAAGAAGAAGAAGAAGAAGAAGAAGAAGAAGAAGAAGAAGAAGAAGAAGAAGAAGAAGAAGAAGAAGAAGAAGAAGAAGAAGAAGAAGAAGAAGAAGAAGAAGAAGAAGAAGAAGAAGAAGAAGAAGAAGAAGAAGAAGAAGAAGAAGAAGAAGAAGAAGAAGAAGAAGAAGAAGAAGAAGAAGAAGAAGAAGAAGAAGAAGAAGAAGAAGAAGAAGAAGAAGAAGAAGAAGAAGAAGAAGAAGAAGAAGAAGAAGAAGAAGAAGAAGAAGAAGAAGAAGAAGAAGAAGAAGAAGAAGAAGAAGTTAAGAAGAAGAAGAAGAAGAAGAAGAAGAAGAAGAAGAAGAAGAAGAAGAAGAAGAAGAAGAAGAAGAAGAAGGAAGAAGAAGAAGAAGAAGAAGAAGAAGAAGAAGAAGAAGAAGAAGAAGAAGAAGAAGAAGAAGAAGAAGAAGAAGAAGAAGAAGAAGAAGAAGAACTGGGTGAGGGGAAAACAGGACATGAGCTTGCGGGGCATTGGAGGGGGTGATGGGAAGAATGATAAGAGGTATGGGGGAAGAGATGAGAAAAGGTAATACAAAGGGAAATGGTTAAGAAGGTCACATTAATGTCAACTGCCTATTTATACACACGACAGAGTGAGAGAGATAAGGGGGGAGGGAGGGTATGTTTCACGTGTCCTAAATGGTGACTGGTTTTTGTCTATATAGGTAAGGTAAGGTAAGGTAAGGTAAGGTAAGGTTAATTAAGTTATGTAGTGTAAGGTAAGGTAAGGTAGTAAGGTAAAGTAATAGGGTAAGGTAAGGTAAGGTAAGGTAAGGCAGGAAGGTAAAGGTAAGGTGTAAGGTAAAGAGCAAGTGTAAGATAAGCCATTTGGTATTCATAAAGGCAGTTTAAAATGAGTGGAAAGACATCAGTACTGTTTCTGTTGGTCTACTTATAAAATAAGTAGGTGGAGTTACTTAATGTTATCACTACTTATATGAGAGTTTGGGGAATGTATGGGAGTGTGAGAGAGAGAGAGAGAGAGAGAGAGAGAGAGAGAGAGAGAGAGAGAGAGAGAGAGAGAGAGAGAGAGCCACAGGGGAATATGTTTAACACACACAAAAAATAAGTATGCAATTTATAACAGCCTTATTTTACTTAAAATATGTGTAAGCTAAAGTATATAATATAATTATAGTCACATCTAAGCCACATGTATGAATTGCAGAGTCATTTGTATGCATATATACAGTCACACACATGGGAAATCGGGAATGAGCAGAATTTTCACTATATCCGTAAAGTTATAGGACGCATTTACAGCTGGGTGAATGGAGTGCCTTTTGCGGTTGAACCACCGAGCCTTAGGACAAGATGCCGAGAGGGTTATCTTATCGGCAGCCTCACCCTACAATACTGCTACTGAATTGTACAGAAGTCAATGATGATTGAGGTTGATATTACTGTGGGTTAGGCTGAATAGTAAGTGAAACATGGGTTGTAATTACCGTAGAGTTTCGCACGTATTTTCCGGGCCCGTGTAGAAAGGAGGTATAGTAGTAGTAGTAGTAGTAGTAGTAGTAGTAGTAGTAGACTAGTAGTAGTAGACTAGTAGTAGTAGACTAGTAGTAGTATTAGTAGTAGTCGTAGTAGTAATGTTTTTCTCTGTCACTCTTCTTTCTGTCGATCCCAGCACTTCTCTCATCCTCTCTCTCTCTCTCTATCTCTCCCAGGTGTCGTGGATCAGGCGCCGCGACCTGCACGTCCTTACGACTGACTCCTTCACCTACACGACAGACTCTCGCTTCCGCGCTGTCCACGTCAGGTCGTCCCCTTTTGTACTGAGCGTCTCTGATCCCACCCTCGACGACTCTGGCGTATACGAGTGTCAGGTCTCCACACTACCCAAGATCTACAAGAGATTTACCCTGGCTGTGGTTGGTGAGTGCGATTCTACCTGGCCTTTCTCTCTCGCTATCGCTCTCCATTTACCTCGTTCGTCTCGCCCTGAGTTCTTCGTTGATGACTCCGGCGTGTATGAGGATCAAGTCTCCTCTGCACTTGGTTGTCTTGTGTGACCCATTCTGCTCTCTTTCTCTCTGTTATCCACCGTCTTTTACGTGTTCCATTTGGTATTTCTATGCTTATTTGTCTCTTCTATTTCATCCTCTTTCGTTCGCCTCTTTATTGTTAAATTCCCTTCGTCTTCGTTTTCCTCTTCGGGTCCAGCAAGACCCTGTTTATATATTATATTTATTAGCTTCTTCTTTTCTTTCCTTCTTTTCTTTCTTTCTTTTCTTTCTTCATCTGTGGGTGTGTTGATATTTTTTCCTTCGTCTCCTAAATTATTTATTTTTGTCTGTATTATTTATCAACTTTTTCAGGTTATTTAATTCATTCGGTGCGTCTCTGTTAATGTTGCCATATTTGTTATCCTATTTTTTTTATTTTCCTTCCTCTATTATTCCCGTTTTCTTTTTACTCTCTCCTTCTCGACGTCTTATTTATGGCTCCATGTTTGTCATTCTCTCTTCTTTTCTTGAGTCTTTACTATTTCTCTCTCGTCTTTGTGTACTGAATTCCGATGCTTTTTTGTTTACGACGTCATGTTATATACAGTATATATATTTTTCATATTTTTCTTTTCGTTCTGTTTTATTCTATCGTCTTTTTTGTCTTCTATCTTTGTTCTCCAAGTCTATTTTGTTACGGTTTTAATTTACTTTTCTTTTCAGTTCGTGTTTGTTTCTTTTGGTGTTGATATTTTGTTTCTTTTGGTGATGATGTTCTTTTGTTTATTTTTTTGGTGTTGATGTTTTGTTTATTTTGGTGTTGATGCTCTTTTTGTTTCTTTTGATGTTGATGTTATTTTGGTTTTTGGTGTTGATATTCTTTTGTTTCTTTTGGTACTGATGTTCATTTGTTTATTTTATCTTTAATGTTTCGTTTATTGCTTATTATATATTTTCTTTTTGATGCGCTTTTGTTAATTGTGTGTTGCTGCTTCTCGAAAGTTTAGTTTGTTTTCATTTAGTTAGGTAATGATGGATATACTCGATTAGGGAATATTGAGCATCAGCGCCAGTTTGCCAATTTTCGTTAAACTAATGGCACCTGAATTTGTTTTTAATAATACCGATTAAATGATTTCGCAAACCCGTGTGATCATTTATTCCGTTTTTATGGCTATCATCATCGTGCGTGTTTTGAGTTTGTGTTTTATTCGAGTTTGTATCTGGATTCGCTATTAAACCTTGCCATGTTTCTCCATTAGATTCGCCATTAAAACCCCCTTCCCTTCCCTCTCAACAGTACCTCAAGCGACCATCGTGGGGCGGGAGGCCGTACATATGAGGGCTGGTAGTGACCTTAACATCACCTGCATCATCACAGGGGCCACCCAGGCCTCACCTGTCACCTGGAACGCACCTCCCAGCCCAGGTGAGTCACGAGAAAAGAGAGAGAGAGAGAGAGAGAGAGAGAGAGAGAGAGAGAGAGAGAGAGAGAGAGAGAGAGAGAGAGAGAGAGAGAGAGAGAGAGAGACTTTTATCAGATTGACCTAACCTCTAATCTTTGACATCTCAGGCAGCAGTAGGAGAAGTGTGGTAGAGGAGGTCAATGCCGGGGTACGTGGTGGTGTACAGCTGGTGACAGACCGTCGGGCGGGCACCAGCTGGCTCCTCGTGACACAAGCCACCTGGCGGGACGCGGGCACCTACACCTGCAGCCCCGCCCACGCCCTCCCCGCCTCCCTCACTGTGCACGTCCTCGATGGTAAGTGTGTGTGTGTGTGTGTGTGTGTGTGTGTGTGTGTGTGTGTGTGTGTATTTTTGTTTTTGTAAGTGATTGTGTTTGTTTGTGTTTGTCTGTTTGTGCGTGTGTCTATTATATGCAGCTTTGGCCTTGTCTGTGTGTGAGTACAGTAATAGACTGTTCCATATGGCTATGTGTGTGTATGTGTGCAAAAGTACATGTATATGTTATGAACACCTTTGAATACTTCCATGTACGTCTTGTGGTAAGTTCGCTTTATATGCACCAGACACGTACGTACATGATTAACCATGTACACCAGCCTCTGATAGCGACCCTTTCTCCCACAGAGGAGACCCCGGCGGCGATGCAGCCTCACCTCCAGCCCTCCACTCCACTTACCCCTCTAACTCCAGGCTCCACCTCCTCCACCTTCACGTTGTCGTCGTCGTCTCCACTCTCGTCTCATGCAGGATGGCCCATATACGTCCTCACGATCCTCGCTCTCTTGAGGCCGTTTTTCAAGACAATAAACTCGTCTTGGCTTTGATGAGTACTGAGACGCGGTGGTGCTGCCCTCTGTGAGTCGAGGTAACATTTTCATTCAGTGGATAGAGGTTGTTTTGCTGCTTTCAGTGGATAGCTGGTCAAACGTTCTGTGGTTAGGAGTTGTATTACTTTCATAGGATCGGTGTTGTTGCTTCAGAAGTGAATGATGATATTTTCGGTGGATACGGAGTTTCCTCTCAGCGAATAGATATTCTAATGAAAGGCAAACGGGGAGAAGGGGGGTGGCTCATAGCCCCAACGTGACCTCCTAACAGAGACGAACAAGTGGACGATAACACAGGTCGGAGTAAAGGAGAGAACGGGATGGAGGTCGTAATATTTGGGTGAGTGAAGGCTGCAGGCTGGCTAAAGGGGGGGGGGTGCAGAATGAGGAGGCTTGACGTCCCAGGGTTTTTACTTTATGCAAGAACTAAGGACGGAGCACGTCTCTGAGGGCTACAGGTGTATATGGTTGACTGGACAGGTGATTGATCTAGTAGGAGAAAAACACTTGCCAGTTTTACAGAGGAGCAACTGTACGAGAGGGTGAGGGAAAGACGGTGTGCCAATGGGTCGCCATTTGAAGGTTAAAAATTGAGATGCTTTTAACACTTCGGGTAATTTTGGAACGGATGCGGTCGAGGCTGTCTACTCAAGAAAGATAAGCGCCACCCCAGACGCAAGAACAGTAATCGATCATAGGTCTTGTCTCAGGTGTGTATGAGTATAAAGTGAGGAGCTGATTAGATGTGAAATATTTCCTTACTCTTGCGAGAAATTCTTGGCAGTGGTAGCGAGGTGACACCAAGACGAGCGGCCATAAGAAACCTTAGTGCCAAGGACTGGGTGAAGATTGCTTCAGTTGGCTGCCAGAGATACAGAGCTGAGAGAATCTTGTGTTTCTTTTGAAGGAGATGAAAGGAGACAGAGTCTTTCTTTGACTGAGAGAGATGACGCTGTTTAAGCTCCAAATCAGAGTTTAATGTTAATGTCCGCAGTGAGCAACTGTGAGGAACCAGACTGATATTATTGCTGGAGAGTCGAATTACTGGCAGAGGCGTGGATGAGGTTGGCTGTAGCTCATTTGTCATCGACGGAAAATACATTAGAAACAGAGTAGGTGAGATGACAGCACCTCGGGGTACACCAGTAATTTCAGGAAGGTTATTACAATGAGCACCATCACCTAAAACATCGACTGGACGACTAGAGAGAGAAAACCAGTTACTGTACCAGGAGATGAAGGCTGAGACCACACACGGGTAGTTAACTAAAAGATCCTAATGTTAGACGTTTATTAAAGGCTCTCTGTATGACCCTAAGTATGTGACAAAAGCCCTTACACTGACCCTGACCTCTGACCCTGGACCATGAACCTGAACATGACCCCTGACCCCTGATCTTGACACATTACCACGACCTCTGACCCTGATCCCTGATTCTGACCATGACCCCGACCCATGACCCTGCCACATGACCATGACATCTGACCCCTGACCCTGACACATAACCATGACCACTGACCATATCACCTGACCATGACCTCTGACCCTAACCATGGCCCTGACCCAGACCTCTGACCCCTGACCCTGGACCATGACCCCGACCAAGACCCCGGACCCTGACCCCTGACCCGGACCCCTGACCCTTCTCCATAACCTTAGAGTTCATGGATATAAGAGCTCTTGGGAGGTTAGGTTATGTAGTTGAGGTGTGGCTGTGGTGTGGCTGTGGTGTGAGTGTGGTGTGGCTGTGGCGTGGATGTGGTGTGGTCTGGTGTGGTTGTGGTGTGGTGTGGATGTGGTGTGGTTGTGGTGTGGTGTGGTGTGATGTGGTGTGGTGTGGTGTGGTGTGGATGTGGTGTGTTGTGATGTGGTTGTGGTGTGATGTGGTGTTGATATGGTGTGGTGTGGTGTGGTGTGGTTGTGATGTGGAGTGTGGTGTGATGTGGTGTGGTTGTGGTGTGGTGTGGTTGTGGTGTGGTGTGATGTGGTGTGATGTGGTTGTGCTGTGGTGTGGGGTGATGTAGTGTGTGGTGTGGCGTGGATTTGTGGTGGTTGTGCTGTGGTGTGGTTGTGGTGTGGTGTGATGTAGTGTGGTGTGGCGTGGTTGTGGTGAGGTTGTGCTGTGGTGTGGTTGTGCTGTGGTGTGGTTGTGGTGTGGTGTGATGTGGTTGTGGTGTGGTCTTACTCTCGAGAGCGTAGTTGTAGCGCTGTCACAGGGCTCACCACAACAACCACTGACTCTGTTGGTGTACATCTCTCACTGTAACCGAATCACTGACTATAACTGACTCACTGACCATAACTGACTCACTGACCATAACTGACTCACTGATCATAACTGACTCACTGACCACAACTGACTCACTGATCATAACTGCCTCACTGACCATAACTTATTCACTGACCATAACTGACCCACTGATCATAACTGACCATAATTGACCCACCGACTATAACTGACCTCACTGACCATAACCGCCTTCACTGAACATTACTGACCATAACCGACTCCACTGACCATAACTGACTCACTGACCATAACTGACTCACTGACCATAACTGACTAACTGACCATAACTGACTCACTGACCATAACTGACTCACTCACCATAAATGACTCACTGACCATAAATGACTCACTGACCATAACTGACTCACTGACCATAACTGATTCACTGACCATAACTGACTCACTGACCATAACTGGCCGTAACTGACTCACTGACTATAACTGACTCACTGACCATAACTGACTCACTGACCATAACTGACTCACTGACCATAACTGACTCACTGACCATAAGTGACTCACTAAACATAAATGACTATACCTGACTCACTGTCTATGTCTGTCTCCGCCGAACCAATAAAATAAATGTAATATTAATGCATTTCTTTAATTTATTATCGTGTGAAAAAATAATAAAAATACTGGAAGAAATTGTATATTATAGTCTATTTTACCCCTTGTTGTATGAGCTGACATTAAGCTGACAATAAGCTGATAGTAAACTGATGATAAGCTGACAATAAGCTGATAGTATACTGATAAGCTGACAATAAACTGACAATAAGCGGATAGTATACTGATGATAAGCTGACAATAAACTGGCAACAAGCTGATAGTATACTAATGATAAGCTGACAATAAGCTGATAGTATACTGATGATAAGCTGACAATAAACTGACAATAAGCTGATAGTATACTGATGATAAGCTGACAATAAACTGACAATAAGCTGATAGTATACTGATGATAAGCTGACAATAAACTGACAATAAGCTGATAGTATACTGATGATAAGCTGACAATAAGCTGACAATAAGATGATAGTAAACTGATGATAAGCTGACAATGAAATGACAATAAGCTGACATTAAGCTGACCTTACGGTGACAATGAACTGACATTAAGCTGATAATAAACTGATACTAAGCTGAAAATAAGCTGACATTAAGCTGACTATGAGCTGAAAATAAGCTGACATTATGCTGACAATAAACTGTCAATAAGCTGACAATAAACTGACAATATGCTGACAATAAACTGATAATAAACTGACATTAAGCTAACGATAAGCAAACAATAAACGGACAATAAGCTGACAATAAACTGACAATAAGCTGACAATAAATTGACATTTAGTTGACATTAAAATAACAATAAACTGACAATAATTTGACAATAAACTGACAATAAGCTATTAATAAGCTAAGAATAAGCTAGCAATAAACTAAAATAAAATAAAAATAAGCTGACAATAAATTAACAATAAGCTGACAAACTGACAATAACCTAACATTAAGCTGACAATAAAATAACAATAAGCTGAAAATAATCTGAAAATAAGCTGACAATTAGACAATCAACCCGAGTCGTGTTTGGTTAATTTGAGTGTATGTCCTAAGAGTGTAGCCTCGTTCACTTCTCTATACCATCCTTCCCTCCTTCAATCCTTCCCTCCTTCAATCCTTCCCTCCATCCAGTTCTCTATCCTTCCCCGTCATTCTGCCTTTGCCCCTCCCTCCCTTCCTTCCTTCCTTCCTTCCTTTCCTCTCTGTCTCCCCTTCTACTGTTGGTTTGTTCCTTATTCTTCTTACCTCTGCTTCTCTCCCTCTCTCTGTTCTTTTTATCGACAATTCTCCCTCCTTCTTCCTCCTTCTCTCCTTCACTCCCCTTCTATCCTTCCTCTCCTTCCCTCCCCTTTTGTCATTCCTCTCCTTCCCTCCTTCTCTCCTGTCCCTCCTTCTTTCTTTCCTTCCCTCCCCTTCTATCAATCACATCTCCTTCCCTCCCTTCTGTCATTCCTCTCCTTCCCTCCTTCTCTCCTTCTGTCCCTCCATCTCTCTCCTTCTGTCCCTCCCATTTCTCTCCTTCTGTCCCTCCTTCTCTCTTCCCTCCTTCTCTCCCTTCTGTCCCTCCTTCTCCTTCCCTCCTTCTCTCTTCTTCTGTCCCTCCATCTCTCTCCTTCTGTCCCTCCTTCTCTCCTTCCATCCTTCTCTCCTTCCTTCTCCAGGCCTCATCACGCCCCCACCCACAACACATTCCAACCCTCACACCAACCCTATTGAATTATAAACTCCATTTTCTCTTGTCAAATAGTACGTTTTCTATAGTAGAGAGAGAGAGAGAGAGAGAGAGAGAGAGAGAGAGAGAGAGGACTTATGTTATTATTGGGTAGAGTTGGTCTGTTAAACACCTACTGAACGGCGGTAAAAACAACACTCCTTCATCCCCCCTCCCCCCCAGCCCCTCCCACCCCCAACCCCCCCTCCTTCCCACCAGCCCCTCCACACCCCCCCAACCCCCTCCTTCCAGCCCCTCCCTCCCACACCCCCTACCCCCGACACCAAGACCACCAACAACAACAAAGAATGAAAATAAAACAGAGAGAATGAAAGAGAATATAAACTAAATGGGAAGAAGAGGAAGAAGAATAGAGAGCGAGGAAGAAGAAGAAGAAGAGAAAGAGAGAGAGAGAGGAACGAAAGGGG